TTCTGCTACACACCTGCGTAAGATATTGTCAGGTCCTAGCTTATATAAAAAAGGTTCATCCCAACGATAAAATCGAACTTCATTTAGAAATTTCTTTACCTGTTGCTTGTTAAACTCATAAGGAACTATTCGACTTACTAAATAATTTGCTATATCGGCATACCACGGAACTGAATCAACTCGCAAGAGTTGCTCGTCAATAAACTGTTCACGTATAACAGTTCCATCATCACAGAGCGGGGATTCCAATCTAGACAGGTGATCAGCAACTTGGTTTTCAATACCCTTCCTGTCCCTAACTTCAATATCAAACTCTTGAAGTAACAAAATCCACCGTATCAAACGTGGTTTCGCATCTTTTTTAGCAAATAAATATTTTAAAGCAGAATGGTCAGTAAAAACAATGACTTTTGTGCCTATCAAGTAAGACCTAAACTTATCAAAGGCGAACACAACTGCTAACAGTTCCTTTTCAGTAGTAGTGTAATTGAGTTGTGCACCGATTAGAGTCTTACTAGCATAATATACAAGATGCAAGATCTTGTTTTTACGTTGTCTTAACATAGCTCCTATTGCATAATCACTAGCATCACACATGAGCTCGAAAGGTAAATCCCAACTAGGTTCGATAATTATAGGGGCTGAACTTAAAGCAACTTTCAACATTTCAAATGATTTTAAACAGTTATCATAAAAAACAAATGGTCTATCATGTTCTAACAATTGACACAAGGGTTTAGAAATTTTAGCAAAGTCTTTTATAAAGCGGTAGTAAAATCCCCCATGCCCTAAAAAACTTCTAATCCCTTTAACATTTGTGGGAGGAGGTAGCTTTGAAATGATGTCTATCTTAGCGTGGTCTACCTCTATTCCTTGTTTGGAAATTTTGTGACCCAAAACAATGGGAAATTGACATAAATGGCCCACTGAAAAAAACTATTTGCTCAAATAGCCCACAATTGAAAAATTGTTTTCAATGGACCACCATATTAAAATAATGAATCTAAAAAATGTTGGAACTACGTTTATACCCTAAATTAAAAAACAACCGTTGGTTTCCCTCTCTTCATCTTTCTCGTGCGTTTCAACTTCTTCCCCTTCTTCCTCTCTTGATCTTTCTCGCTCGAACCACTGAAGTTATTCAAGTCACTCCTTCTTCCTTCTTCCTCTCTTAATCTTTCTGGTGTATTTCTTCCTATTCATTTCGCCCGTTTTTCTGTTATCGTGCGTGCTTTTCAACGCCTCGCGGATTGTTTCCGTTGAACGCCTTCGCCTGCACCTCGCCCGCGAAACCAAGGTTAGGATCTCATCTCACTAAACCTACACTTAATAGTAATGGGTCATGTTTAATTTCGTTGTGGAGTTCTTCTTTGACGTTGTGGGTTTAGGGTTTTAGTTTGAACAATTATGTGAAATATTTATGTCTTTTGGGCGAATTAGGTAGAAATTGTCGTGTGTTTTGATAACCTCTTGAATTGGGTTTATGGCTTTCTGCGGTTTCGAGCGAGATTGATAAGTTTTTAGAAAGTATTTAGAATTCGTTGGAAAGTACGGGCAAATTGGGGATCTGGGGTTCATTTCTTGGTGTAATTTCTCGGGGTATCCCGGGCGAGATTCAACGAGAAAAAGAGCTTCGAAGAATCTCGTTCGAGGTACCACGAGAAATGAAGGTTGGGGTGCTTTGCGTCTGTTAAATTTCTCGGGGTTCTCTCGGGAGAGATACGAACGAGAAAAATCCATCTGAGGCATCTCGTTCAAGGTACCACGAGAAATGAAGGTTGGGGTGGTTTGCGTCTGTTAAATTTCTCGGGGTTCTCTCGGGCGAGATATCGCCCCGAGATATTATACAGCTTCACATTTCTGTCGGCTGCTTTCACGTTTTATCTCGAGCGTTAAGTGTGATATGTTATTTCTTGGTGGTATCTCGCCTTGGATTGGCACGAGAAATTGAACATAAATTACGCTCGAGGTACAACGAGAAAGCACCCGAGAGAATTATGAAGCTATATAATTTCTCGGGGCGAGATATCGACCGAGAATTCTTCCAGAATTTTAACAGAACATTGCCTGACCTTTTTTTTTCCTTTGTCATTTTAAATTTGCATATGTTTTGTATGGCTATGATATTGAATTGTGTTTTTACTTATATTTAGGTTTAAAGTATGGAATTGAGACCGAAAATTGACCCTGCAATTTATGCATCTGCAAACGTGTCCTGTTTATCGCATCTAGCGAAGACAGTGACTGCTATTAAGGGAAAATTGGCCCCTAGACAGCTAGCCATGTTTAGGAAAACCATATTCAGTCATTTGCTGGACGTGGACCTCGTTTTTAACGGGCCATTGGTACACAATATATTACTTAGGGAGGTTGAGGATAGTACGACGGACAGTATTAGTTTCAACCTGTTTGGGAGGAAAGTGTCGTTCGGACGGAGGGAGTTTGACCTTATTAGTGGCCTTAAGTATGACGGGAGCCTAGTTAGGAAAGATACTCATGTTCATAGACTTAGGGCTCTGTACTTTAACGATAGGTCTGACCTTGTCTTGAGTGATTTAGAAGACCTATATGAAGCCGCCCAATTTCAGGATGACTTCGATGCGGTTAAGGTATCCATTGTTTACATGGTCGAAATGGTCTTGCTAGGGAGGGAGAGAACTGTGAAGTTCGACCAGACGCTGTTAGGAATAGTGGATGACTGGGAGGTCTGCTGCAACTACGACTGAGCGTCCCTATCGTTCGAGAAGACGATAGGTAGTCTTCATCGTGGACCAACCAAGATGGCAAAGGATGGAGGGTTGAGGAAATCATATAGCCTGTATGGTTTCYCCTGGGTGTTCCAGGTATGGACATAAATACATTTCCAATATTTATGGATCGTTTGTCATCGGTTATGGTTTATAATGTGACTCTCTTTTTTAAACAGGTGTGGGCGTACGAGGTGATATCTTCCCTATCTGGCCGGGTCGCAAATAAAGTTTTTAAGGATGCAGTGCCACGTATCCTCCGATGGAGGTGTGGCCATTCGACTGCATGGCATGTGCTTGACCGGGAGATTTTTCGGTCTACAACGGTAGGTTTGAGTTGGTTGTTTGTTGCATTGCAAATTAACTCTTATATTTACCGCGAGGGTACCTTATGATTCACACAGGGAAGAACGCGAAGATTAGAGGCAAGTGATGCTGAGATGAGCTTCATGAGGCGAGCCTTCGAATCACCTGAAGCAGATGACGACGACGCCATGGATGTTGATGCTGGGCAAGCGGGTGTACGTGAGGGCATAGAGGATCCTGCTGATGGTCGAGGCGATGATGCTAGACCACAGTCAGGTGTATGTGAGGGCCCACAGGAGCCTGATGTGGGCCAAGGTGATGCTGTTGGACCATCAGCTG